TCCTTACAGATATGACACAGACCACTACTAGAGTTGCTCTAAAAACAGTTCTACTGAGCTGAGCTGAGCTGGCATGCACCAAATAAAAAAGAAAGGAAAAAAACAAAACATAAAGAGGAAAATGACAAATTAATACTCTTTTAGTGCTCTAAACCATTTTTCATTCTCCTTATGCATTCTGAAAATTAAAAATACTCTATTGTCAAAAAAAATTTATTGTAACTAACCAAACATAAAATAATAAAATTACCAAAAAACCTTTAATACAAAATAAAACTATCACACTGCTCTCATTTTCATCTACTCACAAACAAGTTCCTCTTTCTGCACTATTATAATATTTTCTAACCTTCTTCGGCAATATACCAAATGCCTGTAACCAATAATGACAGTGTTGTTGATCGAGAGTGTGAGAGAGTGATGCAATGATTTGGCAAAGTGGTGTTACTAATTGAGAGAATATGAGAAATAATGAATGCGATATATGAAAAAAGAAAAATAGATATAATTTTTAAGTTCATAAAAGTAATATAGATATTTTTGGGAAAATTAAAAATACTCTATTGTCAAAAAAAATTTATTGTAACTAACCAAACATAAAATAATAAAATTACCAAAAAACCTTTAATACAAAATAAAACTATCACACTGCTCTCATTTTCATCTACTCACAAACAAGTTCCTCTTTCTGCACTATTATAATATTTTCTAACCTTCTTCGGCAATATACCAAATGCCTGTAACCAATAATGACAGTGTTGTTGATCGACAGTGTGAGAGAGTGATGCAATGATTTGGCAAAGTGGTGTTACTAATTGAGAGAATATGAGAAATAATGAATGCGAGATATGAAAAAAGAAAAATAGATATAATTTTTAAGTTCATAAAAGTAATATAGATATTTTTGGGAAAAAAAATATGTTGTTTACATTATACACTTTATTAGTTTGATTTAATAGTTGATTAATGTAATGGACCATTTGCTATGTGATTGGAAATGTCAACGGGCATGATATAATTTTTCAAACGTGAGAAAAAATTTATATTTTTAATAATCTCAGATTGTATTTGTAATCTATCTTTTTATTTTTAATGTTACATATAATTTTATTTCTTCTATCATTTTCTTATTTCAAGACATAAATCAATATGTCTCATATGGATTTATAAATGTAAATTTAATTATTTTGTATCTAGGAATAAAAAAAAGGTAAAAAACAAAATTATATATAGCATTATTATCACTAGTGGATGGTACATGTGAAGCCTATACAATTTAAATAAGTAAGAATAAAAAAAATAATATTGAAACTAATATTATAATGTGTATTTAGTTTAAGTAGTATGAGTTTTTCTATTTTAAATCCATGATAACGGGTTGAAGCCTTGCTCACCTTTTGTGTAACATTTTTGTAAGAAATAAAAAATATTGTCACGTAACATGAAGAAAGCGAAAATTTCATTATACATCAACATTTAATAATAATATAGATTATTTTTAAAACACTATACTTGGTGAAAAACAAACACATCACAAACAAATATTATAATGTCTAGTTATGGCCCCACAACACACTAGATTATAAAAGTAGTGGATTTTAGGATATGGTATGGCCCTTAATTGAACAAAAAAGTCTCGTTGGTGCACTGTGAACCATTTTAATTATCTATTGCGTTAATTTTAATTATTTATTTTGTTAATGTTGTTTATACATGATTTTAGAACAATTCATAAAATATTAGATTTTAGGCTAAATTATAGTTTACATATTTGTACTTTATATTAAATTTTAGTTTGATTTCACATTATTCGATTATAATAATTAATTTCTTATACTTTCGGTTAAATTACAATATATAATCATTCATTATTTATTAATGGGTGTTTTCTGTTTGTTTATTTATTTGGTGAATTTTTTTTGGACTTAGTTTATTTTTTAGTGATTTTTTTAATAAAATTAAAAAAAAATTTAAACTTCCAGATTCAGTTGGATGAGATGAATTGAAAAATTAAAATATTTTTTTTAAAAATTCAAAAGATGTTTAGGAAAGGCAAAAATAAGCAAAAGAATAGTAAATTTTTTTGGACTTATTTTGACTTCTTAAATTTTTTATAGAATTTTTTAAAATAAATTATTTTTTAGATTCGTCTAGAGGACAAATTGGAAAAGTAAATTTTTTTTGATATAACTTTAGGGCTCGTTTGGGAATTAACTTTTTTAGTAGCTTTTAACAAAAAAAGGTGTAAAAAAAATAGAAAAAATAATTTAACAACTTATAATAATTTTTTAACTTTTTGGTAGAAACTCCACTTCTCAAGCAAGATCTTTGGTGTTAAATTATCCAACTGAAATTATCATGTAACTTTCACATGAAGCAGTTTAAAGGCAAAAATATTTGAAGCTAAGGCAATGCTTGTCCCCTTTGAGTAACATTTTGACTTGGACTTCCAAACAGCCCCCAAAAGAACCATGGAAATTAATTGGTTTAAACTACCGCTGTTAGGTTAACAACGCTGGTTAGCCCATACCGCTGTTAGGTTAACAACGCTGGTTAGCCCACACTTCTTTCTAAAGGTGGGCGCGAGTCGGTTGCGGTCACGGAACGTCTAATCTGTCATCCCTCCGTTAGATTGGTGGATTGGAGAAAATCAATTCGCATCTGTCCGTCAATCCGACGGATGTGGATTGAGCAGATTGGCGGATGGATGCGAATCGGTTTGGCGGTTTAAAATTTTATAAATTTTCAACATAATTCAACTTGTGCACTTCCTCAAAAAAAAAGAGAAGAAAGTATTACAGTTAATGACTTAAAAAAATTATTACAATCACTGCATGCCTCATCCACATACTATAATCACAGCATGTCTCATCCACATAAAGTATTACAATATGTGGTTCTTAAAATATAAAAACAATTCAAACCACCAAAACTATGAAGAACAGTAGTAGAGATTGTATGTCTCTGTATTGTTACATCTATATCTGTTTTTTAAAACAAAAACCAACCAGCATATATAATATTTTCTATTTATTATTTTTAGAGATAGATTTAAAAACCAAAAAATATAGATAAATAATACGTTTATTTTTTTTAATTCAAAAAAGATATTCAAGTTGAATTTTTTTTTTCAACAAAATATTTAAACTCTTTTTTAATTGAAAACACAAACAGAATATTTAAACAAATTGAAAACACAAAGTCTTATAAATTGGGGTGTTCGCGGTTTAACGGTTCGGTTGTGGCCAAAGGAATCTCAAATCTGCCATCTGTCCGCCAGATTGGCGGATTGAACAAAATCAATCCGCAACCGTCCGATCGTCATCACGCATCCGCCCAAAATGCGACGGATCATTTGGTTCGATCAATTTTAATGGATCAATATATCCGCTACTCATCCCTTCTTTCTGATGAATTTTAGAACTACTTATTCTCTAACTACTATTTTCACCCCAAGACTCAAATATGTTTGCTCTTTCTTGTCAGCAACCAACTTTGTCTGCTTTATCAATAATTTCTTTTTGTGGGTAAATTACACTCATCTCCTTCTGGGTTTGGAGATAATTAAAATAATTTTACACTTTTGATATAATTATACTTATCTCCTTTTTAAGTTAGTTAAGGTGACTAAACTTAATGCAAATGATAAGTAAATATGAAAATAAATAAAGATAAATTATATATTTTGGTAAAAAATATATGACGAAATTATTTTTTTATTTAAACAACTAACGAATTACTGATAAAAAATGACCTAACTGTAATATGACTTGCAACCTCATAGGAAGCTAGTGCAATTATATTGAAACTGCGAAACTAATTGTAATTTTTTTTAAACTTCAAGAGAGATGGGTGTAACTTACCCTTATTTTGTTTTTTCCCCCTCTTTTAATCATTTTTCAGGTCATTTTCTTTCCATTTAAATCTCACTCATTTTCCATGTCATGTGCATCTTAACTATTAGGAGATATTCACCCAAAAAAACTATTAGGGGACTGTTAAGGAATGTTTATTTTTAAATTTTTTTTTGTCAACAAATAAAAAAATTATAAATGTTACGACAACGGTATCAAACAAGACATTCAACTTAAGAAAGTCTAATTTCCATTATTAAAAAAAAAAAATCTTGATAAAGTCTGACACACAATATCACAAGAACAAAATCAAATAAAAAATTCAAATTAAGAAAGGAAAGAGAGGAGAGAATAGAGAGAATGTTATATTTGTCATTTTACATTTTACTCATGTTTTATTATTTTCGATATTTTCATATGTAATATTATGAATTTTGATTTCCCATATTTCGTAATTAAAATTTTAATCTTTCATTTATATGCAATTATCCCCTTTTTATTTTTAAGATTAGATTTTTATTTATTATTATTTTAACAAAGATAGCGTTAGTATGTCAGTAAATTACAACACAAGTCAATTTCTCTCTATATGCTCAAATCTAAAACCTTATTCTAATACCTCCGTTTGGATTGAAGAGTTTGGTGAGAAAAATAAAAGAAATGAAGATGATGAGATTTCTTATAACTTGTTTGGATGATTAAGGAGGTGAGTAATTGTGAGAAATGAATTGAAATGGTGAAAAAACACCAAACTTAAGTTTTGTTTCTCACCAAAAGCGGTGAGATTTGGTGATAAATTAAATTACTCTTTTAATCATAATCTATCCAAACAAGAAATAGAGAAACACAATTATTTCATCCCCTTCTTTCTTTCTTTTTTTCTCATCTAGGTGAAAAACTCTAATAATTTTTTTTTTAATTTTCTCAACTCTCAATCCAAACACAAGTGCAATCTTCATGACCACTTGAATTACAACCTGAGTCTTTTAAGACTATATTTGATTAATAAATATAAAAAAAAAGACAAAAAATGAAAACAAAAAATTAAATTTATATTTCGGTCAGTTTCTTTGCATTTTTTTAAAATTTTCAAATCATTATTCGAAATTTATATTTCAAATATAATCTCAAGTCCAATTAATTGTAATCCAAAACCAAAAAGGGCTAAAGCTCATATCCATCACGAGCCCTAGATCCATTGGGTTTCGTTTTCCAAGATCAAGTCCATATTGTCTTCATCTGCCTCCTCCAAATTCCAATCCCTCTCAAAACCAAAAATGTAAAATGTAAAAAACCCTAACTCTAAATTGGAGTTTCAGAGTCAGCCTAATCGTAAAATTGATCTTTGATTCGGAGATCATCGTTTCAAAGTAAGAGTTTTTAGCTTAGATAAATCCATAATTATACATGCATATTGTACTATTTCTTTACATGTGTTTTGTGTTAATGTAAGATTTTAAATGTTGTATTGTAAATATTGATTTTCTTGTGTTTTTTTGTTCAGGGTTTTCTTTGATATGTAATAAATTCATCTAAGGTTAGGAATTTTAGTAGATGAATCTTTTAGGCAAATATTGAAGAAACCTCATATATTCTAGACACTGTTTTTGTTGTTTATTGCAGAGTGTTGAATGTGTTGGTAATCTGGAAGAGAGTTTTCTATTAAAAAACACTGTTATTTAACCTGGGTTTGTTTTAGATAAGATAATTCTTTCATTTGTTTCTCTGAGAATTCTAGCTTAATATGGGATTTCTCTACATGGATTCATAAAAATTTATTAGGGTTTTCATATCACTTGCTGGACTTTACACAAACTGAACTCTGCAAGAAAAAGAAATTTCCATTTTTGTAGATATGTTGATCACCAGAGAGTTTTGGCCAGCATTGCACTCCACCTAGTGTTGGGCTTTTTGCTCTTAATGGTTTTTTTTTTTCCTTTCTTCTTTTTCCACCCAATTTAGTCTTCCTCTTCCAAGAGCATGCTTGTGCTGTGGAAGAGTTAAACTTGGGACTTATAAGTTTTTATTGGAGTGTTAGTATAAGGAGTATAGTTATGGTTGGAGATTTGGAGAACAGTTTGTTGTAAAATTGAATTGCATTGGGATTATTTCATTTTTTAAACTGTTATTGTCTTAGATTGAGCCACCCTTTTATGCAAATAAAGCTGAAAGCAACACAGTATTTGTGTGCTAGCCTTTTACCCACAAGTAAAAATGTCATTTCTTGATACTGTGTACTTCAACATTTCTGAGGAGACTTGCTATAATTTATAGTTGCACCTGTGCAGCCATTGGGATTTTGGGTTATGGGACTAATGATGGACCTTTGAGTGTGGTGGAAGCATGGAATGCTTCTGAAAGAGGGAGCAATGGAAGATCCCCGTTCTGTCAATAGTCCAAGAAGGGTCCTCAGTCTCTCAAGGAAAAGCAGGGGAACTCTGTCCTTTCCAGAGCCTGATGACAACAAAGCTTCTGGGTTTGGTGTGTCTGGAGATCATGGTCCAAACCCTTCTGAAGTGTATGGCTTTGTTGGCGCCATCTCAACTGTTGTTGCTACTGGTATAATTTTTTCACGAATCATCATAGATTGCCGATGAATTGAGTTCCGGTACTTCTTTTGTGTAAATGTGCACACACACACACACACACATATATAAATTATAGACTCTGCCTGCACCTATATGGATATGATTGTTTTGGGGGTGGTGAGGAATATTCTTGTTAAGCACATTTAGATTGAAATCCAGCTGGCGAAAAAGCTTAGATATTTTATGATGTTTCTATAGAATTCATGCGTATGTCCAATTTTACCGTTGATATTTCATGGAGCAGTCCTGCATACCTGAAATTTTAAGGGTGCTTGAACACTTTTGAATGACATAGAATATCTAAGAACAACATCTATGTAGATAATTTGATCAGCTAGAATTGTGTTATGCATTTGAAAAAAATGACAATGTATATAATGATTCCTTTTAAACTGACTTGTATTTCTCAGGCTTGGAAACTGTTTGTAATTTTGACGATTACTATAAATTTTAAATTATCTCCATTTTAATGTATTTGATGCATTACCTTTTTTATTACAAGAAAAATAAAAAATAAAAAATCTATTTATGAGTTGATCCACTTCTCTAAAGGTTCACATGGTGTGCAATTGGTTATGATCATTAGTAAAAATGAAAAAATCAAATACATAATGTTAATCTCTCTGATAAAGTTTTTTCCCCCCGCTCAATGCATCCCTTTTGGGATCAAATGACATTATTTGGTGCTTTTTGAAAACATGTTATACTTCCCTTTTATTTATTTATTCATTTTTTTTGTGGGTAGTTATTTTCTTGATTATACTTCTCTTTTATTTATTTATTCAATTTTTTTTCTTGCTGGCAGTTATTTTCTTGATATGGGCATATCTTCCTGAGCCTTGGTTACACTTCATTGGGATCTATTATTATCCTAGCAGGTGAGTAAGATTAGCCCTTGGGCTTCTTCAATGTCAAAATCCTCTGTGCTACACATAGGTTTCAGATCAAGCCAAAATTTCTGAAAATTTGTTCTAGTGATTTCATGGTTGTAAAGTTTGGCCTTCAGTTATGGCATGGACTCTGATTAGGTGCTTCATGGCTTGCTCCTTATTGGGCAACTTCAGTGAAGCAAACCAATAATAATGATAATAATTTTTTGTAGCATTAACTGTTAACACCGTCTCCTTTGGATTTATTTTGGGATTCTATATCTTAGATGTTAAGCTTGGTATTACCTTTTCAGGCATTGGGCTTTGGCAGTGCCAACTTACGCAATGGTGACGATAGTATTAGCCATTGGGTTCTACATTGGCCTCAACTTCATGGTGACCCCTCCTCCAACTTCCTTGAACACAATCTTTGGTATATGCCATAACCTGCCTTCCTGTTTGTGTACTTTAGTTTTTCTTAAAACTTTGGGATGTTGGAATTTGTCCCACATCGCCTGGAATTGCCCTATTTATACTGGTTATAAGGCTCAAATTTCTCTCTCCTTAATGCTTGTGTTTTAAGGAGAAGTGCGAGCTGGGCTTCTCAATTTAGTATCCGAGCTTGGTTGGTCCTGTGACTGGTGTGCTGTTTGTTTGGCTACTGTATGTTGTGGTTCAGGAGGGTGTGTTGGAATGTGTCCCATATCGCCTGGAATTGCCCCATCTGAACTGGTTATAAGGCTCTAGTTTCTCTTTCCATAATAACTGAGTTTTAAGTAGAATTGTGAGTTACGCTTTTCAATTATAGTTGTTCCTAACTTTTAGTGAGATCAATCTAAAACTAGTGAACTTTTACTTCACTGCGGCAAAACATATTAACTGCATTAGATTTTGAACCTGTGTTTTAAATACTCAAGTTACTCAATGATAAAAGTTGGTGATGCTTTATTCTGCAGATGAGTACAGTAGAGAACCTTTGATCTTTGAGCCTTCAATGGAAGGTGATGAGCAGCCAATCGAGCCCATATCTGATATTGGCATCAACCTAATCAATGATCTCATGTTCAATGATCAGAAATGACAGTCCACCCTTGGATGATGCCCATGCTGCCCCAGTACCTTATATATTCCTTATATGAAATTATCATTATGCTATTGAAGAGTTAATTTTGATACATTGAGACCTGTTCTAAGAGAGTGAATATACATAAAGTGATTTGTATGCAATTAACTTGGGCTAATATTTTCGTGGTGCAATGTGAATGAAGTACGCAAGCTGTGAGAAATCTGATAAGTAGTGACATGGCAAGCAATGGTGAGATAGGTGAACAGTTACTGTGGGACCTTGGGTGATCAAAGCCAAGTTCTTTTGAAGGCTCTGATTGCAGCAGAATTCCGAGTCAAATGAGACCAGTGTAAGCTATTGGCAGCAATGCGCCCTTCATTCAAACCTGCATTAGTTTTCACGATGTAAAGCGGCTTCTTTCTCTTCATTGTATTTTTTGTTTGTTACTCTTCTTGTTTGAGTTGTGGTGATATTGGCCTCTCTATATATACCTTGTAATTGAACTTTTCAAGTTTTGGGTTTTGCTGGTGTAATAATAGTTGAATGTGAATCTTAAAGTAAAAGCATTTTTAGCGTCTTTCATGTAGATGATGTAACTAAGATATACCACAAAAATGGTTTTGGTTTTGATTCTTCTAGTAACTTGGTCATAATCTTTACACCTCATCAGGAGCTGATAGTTAAATTCATGCCACAAGCAAGTGTCCCCTCCCCTACAGCTATGCTACGGCTTTGAATGTATTTAAAAAAATATATATATGTATATTACTGTTTCTACGAGGTAGAGTCAGTCACAATAGAAAACATGATCTGGATATGGCTGAGGTCACAAGTTAAGTTTTGTTGAAGAGAGATTTGTTGAATCAAATTGTAGTTGTGACTAGAGGAGTTAGCGGAGGCTTGTGAATCTGTTTCAAGAATCATCTGATTAAAGTCTTGTTTTGAAGTTATATAATAGTTATCATTGTTTGGTCGCTGTAGTGAAATAGAATGGAATGAAATAATTATTTTTTAGTTTTATTATTTTTTTTATAATGATGAATGAAGGTTTTATTTGTAATACATTTTTTATTATTTTTTTGGGTAAGTCATGGGGGAATAGACATTGGTTGAAAGAGGATGATTCTATTCTATTCTACTTCATTCATTCCAATGATCATGAAAGCAATGAAATAAGATTAACAAAGATAATTATGTTGCCAAACATTTATGCAAAGATGAATGATTACATTTGTGTGAGGTGTTCTAAATAAGTGTATTTTTTGATTTTTTATAAAATATGGGTTGAGTTTGAAATGATGTAGTAGAGAGGTGATGTGACTTAAATAAGATGATGTGACTTAAATAGGATAGTGACTTTTTAACTTTTTGGCTTATTCCAAGTTTGAGAAGACTAAATAAGTGTACTTTTTGACTTTTTATGAAATATGGGTTGGATTTGGGTTGGGTTTGAAGTGATGTGTTAGAGAGGTGATGTGACTTAAATAAGATGATATGACTTAAATAGGATAGTGACTTTTTGACTTTTTGAATTTTTTGGAAGATGCTAAACTTGGCCTTAGTATCCTTTAGAAAAATAGGCCAACAAGAATAAATAGTGTTATTATTGGGTAAATTATATTGGTAATTCTTATAGTTTAGTTCTTGGATCATTTTGGTCTATGTAATTTTAATTGATTCGATTTTGATTTTATCCCAATTTGGTCTAATTAATTATAATTTTTAGTATGTTTTGATGAAAAATGTATGCATAAGCAGCATATGTCATACTATTATACCAAAAATTGTAAACCTGTTTAACTGAATGAGTTAACTTCAACTAAATGACAATTTTTATTCAAAAATTAAGGATCAAAATTGAACTAATTGAAATGACAATAACTAAAATGACACGAGTAAAATGCAAAGATTAGCAATGTAATTTATCTTTTACTGCTATGTAACTGAAATAGTATAATCTACTATTTACACCTTTTGAATTAATCTATAAATTTGGATGTTAATCTCGTCTGAAGAAAGGTGTAAACCAGAAAGAAAGAAGAAAAGAAAGAAGCAGAAAGAGAGTAGAGATCAAAACAGAAATAGAGGAATGGTGAGAACTGTACGGAAATGTATAGTTAAATCATTGAATGAAATACCATAATTAGTGTTGTATAAATTTTTTAAATTAATTAATTAATTAGTAGATTAAATTTATTGGATAGAAATAAGGGATACTTACGTGTAAGTCCTAATAAGTAGACTTATTGTCTAATAGGTCTTATGGGAAAAATTTGTCACAAAAAGTCACTAATTGTAAGTTTTAGTGACAATTTATAAAAATCAATACAAAAAAAGTCACTAATTGTCAATTTTTGGAGATATATATAAAAAATTGTTATACAATTTATTTTTAGCGACAATTTTACCAATATTGATAGGAATTAAGTCTAATTATTAGGACCTATTGGTAGTTTACCCTAGAAATAATAAAGTAGAAATAGAAACTAGAAGAAAATACAAAAACCAAATAGGAAAAATAGAACTGGATTTTCCAGAAAACAGAAGTTTTGGGGGTCACCCCCTCACCCCCCTTTGCCACGTGGCGGGTGGTGATTGGAGGAGCAAGAAAAAAAAGAAAAAGAAAAAGAAAATGTAACCAATGAGAGAGAGAGGAGGTCAAAGGGGGTGGGAGGAAAAGGGGGGATGAATCATTGTTGATAGGGAAAATAGAACTGGATTTTCCAGAAAACAGAAGCTGGGAAAGGAACCCAAAAATCTAGGCCCATGTTTCACACAATGTTCTTAAAACAGATTTGGTGTGTTAAAACAGAATAGAGATCAAGATACAAAAATTTAAAAAAAACCACAAAAAACCACCAACTCTTGGTACAAGACTGGATATGGGTTGTACGCCGGACCAAGGATCCTCTAGAGTGAAATTTCCTTAAAGTTTTCTAAAGTGCTACATTGTGTGGTTGAGATTTACTGGCAAGTCACATCAATTTTTCTGATGTGACTTGCCACAAGCTGTGAGAAATCTGATAAGTAGTGACATGGCAAGCAATGGTGAGATAGGTGAACAGTTACTGTGGGACCTTGGGTGATCAAAGCCAAGTTCTTTTGAAGGCTCTGATTGCAGCAGAATTCCGAGTCAAATGAGACCAGTGTAAGCTATTGGCAGCAATGCGCCCTTCATTCAAACCTGCATTAGTTTTCACGATGTAAAGCGGCTTCTTTCTCTTCATTGTATTTTTTGTTTGTTACTCTTCTTGTTTGAGTTGTGGTGATATTGGCCTCTCTATATATACCTTGTAATTGAACTTTTCAAGTTTTGGGTTTTGCTGGTGTAATAATAGTTGAATGTGAATCTTAAAGTAAAAGCATTTTTAGCGTCTTTCATGTAGATGATGTAACTAAGATATACCACAAAAATGGTTTTGGTTTTGATTCTTCTAGTAACTTGGTCATAATCTTTACACCTCATCAGGAGCTGATAGTTAAATTCATGCCACAAGCAAGTGTCCCCTCCCCTACAGCTATGCTACGGCTTTGAATGTATTTAAAAAAATATATATATGTATATTACTGTTTCTACGAGGTAGAGTCAGTCACAATAGAAAACATGATCTGGATATGGCTGAGGTCACAAGTTAAGTTTTGTTGAAGAGAGATTTGTTGAATCAAATTGTAGTTGTGACTAGAGGAGTTAGCGGAGGCTTGTGAATCTGTTTCAAGAATCATCTGATTAAAGTCTTGTTTTGAAGTTATATAATAGTTATCATTGTTTGGTCGCTGTAGTGAAATAGAATGGAATGAAATAATTATTTTTTAGTTTTATTATTTTTTTTATAATGATGAATGAAGGTTTTATTTGTAATACATTTATTATTATTTTTTTGGGTAAGTCATGGGGGAATAGACATTGGTTGAAAGAGGATCATTCTATTCTATTCTACTTCATTCATTCCAATGATCATGAAAGCAATGGAATAAGATTAACAAAGATAATTATGTTGCCAAACATTTATGCAAAGATGAATGACCACATTTGTTTGAGATGTTCTAAATAAATGTATTTTTTGATTTTTTATAAAATATGGGTTGAGTTTGAAGTGATGTAGTAGAGAGGTGATGTGACTTAAATAAGATATTGACTTTTTAACTTTTTGGCTTATTTTGAAGATGCCAAACTTAGTAGCCTTTAGAAAAATAGGCTAACAGTAATAAATAGTGTTATTATTGGGTAAATTATATTGGTAATTCTTATATTTTAGTTCTTGGATCATTTTGGTCTATGTAATTTTAATTGATTCGATTTTGATTTTATCCCAATTTGGTCTAATTAATTATAATTTTTAGTATGTTTTGATGAAAAATGTATGCATAAGCAGCATATGTCATACTATTATACCAAAAATTGTAAACCTGTTTAACTGAATGAGTTAACTTCAACTAAATGACAATTTTTATTCAAAAATTAAGGATCAAAATTGAACTAATTGAAATGACAATAACTAAAATGACACGAGTAAAATGCAAAGATTAGCAATGTAATTTATCTTTTACTGCTATGTAACTGAAATAGTATAATCTACTATTTACACCTTTTGAATTAATCTATAAATTTGGATGTTAATCTCGTCTGAAGAAAGGTGTAAACCAGAAAGAAAGAAGAAAAGAAAGGAGGAGAAAGAGAGTAGAGATCAAAACAGAAATAGAGGAATCGTGAGAACTGTACGGAAATGTATAGTTAAATCATTGAATGAAATACCACAATTAGTGTTGTATAAATTCTTTAAATTAATTAATTAATTAATAGATTAAATTTATTGGATAGAAATAAGGAATACTTACGTGTAGGTTCTAATAAGTAGACTTATTGTCAAATAGGTCTTATGAGAAAAATTTGTCACAAAAAGTCACTAATTGTAAGTTTTAGTGACAATTTATAAAAATCAATACAAAAAAAGTCACCAATTGTTAGTTAATTTTTAGCGATATATATAAAAAATTGTTACACAATTTATTTTTAACGACAATTTTACCAATATTGATAGGAATTAAATCCAATTATTAGGACCTATTGGTAGTTTACCCTAGAAATAATAAAGTAGAAATAGAAACTAGAAGAAAATACAAAAACCAAATAGGAAAAATAGAACTGGATTTTCCAGAAAACAGAAGCTGGGAAAGGAACCCAAAAATCTAGGCCCATGTTTCACACAATGTTCTTAAAACAGATTTGGTGTGTTAAAACAGAATAGAGATCAAGATACAACAATTTAAAAAAAACCACAAAAAACCACCAACTCTTGGTACAAGACTGGATATGGGTTGTACGCCGATGACTTGTGTGCATGGCAATTTTTTCATAACAAACTTAGTACATGGTCCTGCCCAAGTCTATCCACCACTTATTCACAAGTCCCTTTCTTCGAAAAATTTGGATATCCAAAGAGGCCAAACTCTTTTGAAAACTTGAGTTTTAAATATTCATTAATGTTTTCATATCTCATCAATGTGAGATAGATGACTTTTCACTTTCCCAAAACCTCTTTTATAATGCTCACTTTATGAGACAATTTGTTATTAATTTTTTATTTGTTTTTGCTCATTCCTTTTGTGGTGTAACCTCACTACCCAGTTCCGTTGAACTTACCTTAATTGGCACTTGAGTCTCATTTTAATTTCGTATTAAAATCACTAAAACATATGCTTGGTTACCACTTTTCAAAAATACTTTTCAAAAAATTCTATTTTCTTATTTTCCCTATTTTTTTGTTTTTACTGAATTTTTTTAATATTTAGAGCAATTTTTTTAATTTTTAGACATACCTAACATAAATATACCTAAAAAGGAAAATAAATTTGAAAAAAACCTTTTAAAAATTCACTAAATACCAAAAATACAAGAATTCAATACATTTTTTATATTTTTATGTATTTATTAATTTTTAAAAATATTTTTTCACATTTTTTTTACTTTTTAGATAGATCTAAGTAAGGTGCATCTAAAAAAGTAAAAAAAATGTTTAAAATGTTTAAAAATATTTACTAAAAACAAAAAAACACGAAAACTAAAAAATTCAATTTTTAAAAAACTTAATTCAAAAAACTCAAACCAAACATACTGATTATTTTTTAACAAGTAAATCATCATGATCTATACTGAAAGGTTCCTAAAGAACCAAGTATAAGTTCTAGAATAACTTAATTTTTTCTATACCTTGTATCCATTTTATTATTTTCTCTACTTTACAGTTATTATTTTATCTGCTTTGCATTTTCTTAATTTTATAACAAATTAAAAAAAAAAACTCATTTAAAGTCACTACCAAACAAAGCCCCTAACTTTTGGAATTTAATTTGAAGTACACACTATTTTCTAGTGAAAGAGTATAGTTTTAGCATGACCTCAAAGCTCAATTACTTCACCAAAAAGTTAGGGGCACAACATCACTCACTCTGTTGATGCTTCATAAGAATTAACTTTCAAAATTTCAAATGTTGAGCAAAATTTTGAATTCAAGTTTATGCCACTCTCAATTCCTTCCAAGACCCTTTCCCTTCACTCATCCTTGATCAAGAAGAAAATGGTCACCATGGTGCCTTCTATATCTACAACCCACCTCCCTCAACTGACCCACCTTCACTCCTCTCCACAAACCAACTTGCCACTCTCTTCCTTTGAAAGCTGTAAATCAATGGACCAACTCAAGCAAATTCACTCACAAGCAATCCAAAAAGGCCTAGCCTCTGACCCCTTTGTGCATTCTAAGATCATTGCTTTCTGTTGCAAACACGAGTTGGGCTGTATGAACTACGCCCGCTACGTGTTCGACACAATTCCACAACCAAACCTTTTCATTTGGAATACAATGATCAGAGGATATTCGAGAATAAAATTTCCTAAATGTGCAGTTTCGATGTATGTTGAAATGCTGGAAAAGAATGTCAAGCCGGATCACTACACGTTTCCTTTTTTGCTTAAAGGGTTTACAAGTGACGTTGCATTACAATTTGGGAAAATGATTCATGCTCATGTATGGAAGTTTGGGTTCGATTCTAACCTGTTTGTCCAAAATGCTATGATACATATGTATTGTTTGTGTGGTGAAATTGATATTGCTCGCGGAATTTTTGATATGAGCTCAAAAATTGATGTGGTTACTTGGAATGCTATGATCTCTGGGTACAACAGAAGTAAGCTATTTGATGAATCTAGGAAACTTTTCGATGCAATGGAGAAGAAAGGAGTTTTACCCACTTCGGTTACGCTTGTTTTGGTGCTATCAGCGTCCTCAAAATTGAAGAATCTAGAAACCGGCAGACAGGTTCATCAATATGTTGTAAGTGGAAAGGTTGAAACTAACTTTATATTGGAAAACGCTTTAATTGACATGTATGCAGTTTGTGGAGCAGTGGGCATGGCACTTGGGATATTTCAGAGTATGAAAGAGAGAGATGTGATATCTTGGACAGCAATTGTGAAAGGGTTTGCCTATTCTGGACAAGTTGATCTAGCTCGAAAGTATTTTGATCAGATGCCTGAAAGGGATTCTGTCTCTTGGACAGCCATGATTGATGGGTACCTCCGGTTGAACCAATTTAAAGAGGTTCTGATGCTTTTTCGCAAGATGCAAAGCGCGAAGGTAGAACCCGATGAGTTCACAATGGTGAGCATTCTCACAGCTTGTGCACATTTGGGTGCCCTTGAATTGGGGGAATGGGTAAAGGCTTACATAGAAAAAAACCAGGTCAAGAATGATATTTATGTAACAAATGCTCTGATTGACATGTACTTCAAATGTGGGAATGTAGAGAAGGCAGTGAGAGTATTCGACAAAATGGCTCGAAAGGACAAATTCACGTGGACGGCCATGATTGTTGGCCTTGCCATTAATGGCCATGGAAAAGAAGCTCTCGACATGCTCTCTGATATGCTTAGAGCTCAAATCACACCTGACGAGGTAACCTATATTGGTGTTCTTTGTGCTTGTACTCACACTTGTATGGTTGATGAGGGAAGGAAGTTATTCTGTAGCATGACTATGGAACACGGGGTTGAGCCCAACGTAGCACATTATGGGTGCATGGTTGATCTCCTTGGTCGAGCTGGGCATCTAAGAGAAGCTCATGAGTTTATAGAGAACATGCCAATGAAACCAAATTCAATTGTCTGGGGAGCTCTTCTCGGCGCTAGTAGAGTTCATAAAAATGTAGAGATGGCTGAAATGGCAGCTAAACAACTTCTTCAATTGGAGCCTGAAAATGGTGCTGTATATGTTCTCTTATGCAATATCTACGCAGCGTGCAATAGAGGGGAGAAGTCACGTGAAGTAAGAAAAATGATGATGGATCGGGGAATTAAGAAGACACCGGGTTGCAGTTTGATAGAGATGAATGGTATAGTTCATGAATTTATGGCTGGGGACCAATCACATCCTCAATCTGAAGAAATCTACTTGAAGGTAGAGGAAATGATAGAGGATTTGAAATTTGCCGGGTATTTACCTGACACTTCAGAGATGTCCCTTGACATAGGAGAAGAGGAGAGAGAGAATGCACTTCATCGGCATAGTGAAAAATTAGCTATTGCCTTCGGGCTGATTAGTTCAGAACCTGGGGTCACAATTAGGATTGTGAAGAACCTAAGAATATGTGTGGATTGTCACCATGTAGCAAAGTTAGTATCAAGAATGTATAATAGGGAAGTGATTGTAAGAGATAAAACCCGGTTCCACCATTTCAGAAATGGTTCATGCTCTTGTAAAGATTATTGGTGACAGATAATAATTAGTAATTTCATGTTTTCCAATTTGCATATAGAGCATTAGATGTTAGGGTGTTGGAGTTATATCAGGATTGTGTTTGTTGACTTACCTGCACAAACTTTAACATGTTATAAACTACCACAACTTCCAAAAGAAATGGAAAGGACAGAAAAAGGAAGAGAAACTTTAGCCAACCAAGCTAGGTAACATTTCCATTTCGTTTTTATCATCAAATAATGAACACAAGCTACACAGAGAAATCTAAAGGAAAAGAAAATGCAAGGATGATGTTTTACTTGACAATCTAAAATGCACTTTGAGAACAGCCAAGACTGCCTAGAGGGCAATTGTTAACTACATTGTTGAAGGATCAGACTGATCAATTTACTCAAAAGGCTCTATCTGATTACCAATTGACCTTCAACTAGAGCCGGGATCAAGTACAGGAAGCCGACAATGTAGACTGATTGATTTATCTGTTTGACGTGTACCTGGTATAAAGAACTGGAATATTACAGTCAAGCAAGCACCTTGTGGAGCGATTCCATAAAAAGCACAGTCAGGCTTTGCCAGATGACATTGAAGACTTTTGGCAAAATGCTTCACACTCACTTGCACTGTCATTGCATCTCCCTTCTGAATTGCCCTTTGTGTTCGAGTTTGAGCACTCAAATCACGATCCCCAACTGGAACCTGAGCCTGCTCTCCTATAACCGTTAATTTACGAAACTCAGCACCAAGGGTGATCAAAGTAGTTGAAATTTGCAAGTGCAGGTCACCATATTTGGTAATAGAAACGTCAATCAAATCCCCAACATTCTTCATCCGATCAACAAAGTTTTGTAACTGATTCATATCTGGGACTTGAACTAGAGTCTGAGGCAAATCTTGAGCCATATCAAGAGCTGCTTGAAGTTCAAGAACATCAGATCTTGATAAAGGTTTAGAGATGGGCACATCTTGAATGACTGCAGATTTATAACCCTTGGTTTCGAATGTGAGGAATGGCATTGGTTGCTGTGAATGAGGGGGGAGTTTCTTTACCAGCTTGATTTGGAGGCGGTTGGCGGTGGAGGCACCACCAGTGCCAGTGTGAGTGCCACTAAACTCAGCATAAATGGTGATGACGCTACGAAGGGCACGGTGGAGGAGAGAGAGATCAATAGAAAAGGCAATGCGGTCATCATTTTGGCTGGATATACGGTAATCATCAAAGAGGGCTTCTTTGCGAAACTGGGCAATGGATTGGATGCCATCGCCATTTAGGAGGTTGTGGAGGAAGATTGCATGCTCTCGGGTCAGGAAGAGATGGCAGGTTCTTCCCATTTTGTCAAGGGCTGGAAGGAACCTCTTCTCCAATAAACTTACACCACTGTCAGTGAGAAACGCCTTGAACTTCATCTTTTGTTGTCGAAGTTCTTTCGGATTTCTAGAGCAGGCTCACCTTCATGAGAAAAAAACAAATGATTGCTCTTTCTTCTAGGGTAAGTGCTAGAACAATGGATCACAAACTATAAATAAATGAATACATTTATGAATAAAATAAAATTGTGAAAAGAAATGCAAGAGAACCTAGATGGGTCCAAATCACTATGTGCAAGGTTGGATGAGTAGTAATAACAAGAACTGACGTAACATGTCATGCTTTCCTGACATCTTTTAGAATTGCTGTAACTGCGAAAGAAATGCTCAGTAAAGAACTTTTTGCATGAAACATCTCAAATTTGACAGGAGATAATTATGGACAAAGAAAAAACAATGTTCGTTAAGAGCATATTTGATTGGATGGACACTGAAATTAATCAAGAGAACCAAATTCGACTCTTGCTTGTTTATCTAATTAACTATAAGAAAGAAAATTTAAAACCCACCAGAGTCAAAATAGTTCACAAGATGACATTAAGAAACCCTTCTAAATGAGTAAGAACCATACAAATACTGAAACTTTAACACTAACTTATTTTCACGAGCCTAAATTTGCAGTTTTGCACATTAATGCAAAAATAGGACTGCATCCAATATTGGGAAGGAAAAAAAAAAATACAAAAAACACCCATTAGAAGTGCCCCTGGCTGTACCCTTGAGTAATTGGGACCAATATTGAGTAATGTCCTTTTCATTATGTGCATATTACTAACTCCATGTCATAACAATTGTCACTTAGTATCAAAATAACAGAAGATGAGAGTAGGAATTTCTTCACACAGATTTGTTAAAAAATGCTCTAGCATGATTTTGTTCTTGGAACTACACAACTTCTAGAGAGAAATCAAAGAAAAGTAGCATGACCGCCAAACGATCTGTGGCGCTCCAAATGCTAAAGTCACAGCTTGCTTTTTGAAGCTGCAAGAGCCAAGAGGCCATATATCTCACAATGCTTAGCCCTGTTAATGATTCTTTATAGTCTGTACTTCCCAAAAGATCGTGACGTTACAGCTCATAGAGAACATTGAGGGTGTGTTTGATGAGAAAATTTACATTATGGGATGATTTTATGTATCACTACATGATTGAGTATGAGACTTTGATGCTTCACTGATTGAGAACTTTCATCGAGCAGAAATAGAAATTTCTCTCTTTTACGATATGATCAAACGCGGCTTTTACTGTAAAACTGTATTCAAATAATGACGTCAAAGTAGGAAACTTAATTATAAATTAAATATTTTTAATGATTCCTTATGAGTTGAATTTTTGATACTTGAAAGAAGTGTGAGATTGATGAATCCCATCCAAACATAGTGTTGAACTCAAGTTCTATTTTTCTCACCAAAGGTGGTGAAAAATCAAAATTACACTTCATAAAATAAATAAACAAATTATAGTACTTGAATTATCCCTAAAAAATACAAAGTAAATAAAATAAAATGACATATGTATCTTTTTTTATTCTCTATTATTCATCCAAATAAGATAGTAAAAATAACACTTTATAAAATAAATAAACAAATTCTAATACTTGAATTTTCTTTCTTTCTTTCTTTTTTTCTTTTTTTTGGGTTGTTGGAAGCAAATGATTTTACTAGAATGAATATTTCATACAGAAATTGATTATACGTCTGGTTCAATAGAAATGAAGCTTCCATATTTACCAATTTGCTGTATAGTGCGTGAGAGAGAGAGTAACAAGAATACCTGTTGATTTGATCTAGGGTTTAGGTTTCCTTCAACTGTTTGGAGCTTTCGCAGAGAGCGCGAGAGAGAGAAGGGGAAAAAAAGGAGGGACTAGACTCCAATAAACGTCAAAATTCCCAATGTTCCTTATTTCGATTGATTTTCCCTCCTTTTTGTTTCTCTCTCTAAATAAAAATATTATCTTTTAATTATTTCAATTTAAAATATTTATTTTAAAAATTGTATTAATTTTAACCATTAGTTAGTTGGAGTATTTCCAACGCTTATTCTATTTTTTCATTAATTTTGAATAAAGATTTGTTAAAAAAATTTATTTAATACCACACGTTTTAACGTTAATTATTCAAGTTTTATCAAACAATCAGTTAATGGGAAAGACAAACGACCGGTCATTCACTATATAAGTGTGATAACCACCTCTTTAATTAAGCAAATTAATTATATAAATTATATGTTATGTGGTTATGTGTTGATTGTGGATTATGTGTCATATGATATATGCTTGCATTGATTAGTATCGTATTGTTATTGTGAACAGATGCGGTTATGTATGAATTAAATCTGTCTGATTCGTTAATTTTGTCAAGTTGGCATGAAGAAATCGAATAGGAATTAAAGCCTAATCAACATTAGGATAATTAAATTTAGTTTGCTTTATGCAATAAAATGATGAGATTAATTTAATTTAAGTGAGTTGATTTTAATTAATTTCCTAGCCTAATTAATTGAAGCCTAATGTGTATAATTAAGAATTACTCATAATTTGAACACAATTAAGCTATACATGTGTCCTACTCACCAAATAGTTGATTATAGTGATGGGTCTTCTTCATCCCTTAAGCTAGACACGTAGAAAGGGAGAGTGTGAGTCATTTTGAGAAGAGAGAGAGAGAGACCCAAGAGAGTTCAATAAGAAAGAGAAGAAAGTGAAGAGGAACCTAAGGGAACTTTTGAGGATCAACTTAATTCTTCACAATTCATTCATTCTAGGTAAGAATTCTTCTCCACAGTCTTAGAAAGTTGTAGGATCATGCTCATAACTTATGAAAATTCAAGATTAACCAAGAACATATAGGTGTAATTGAAGTTTGGTTCATGTAAGTGTAGGATCATGCTCATAACTTACTTCACACATGGCTTCTTATGTAAGGAATGAGTGAATTAACTCTTAAATTCTACATGCATGGCATAATTCTATAAAGACCTTCTTCCTACATTTCATTTCTTGCATAAGTATTGAAAGCTAAGGGGTAAACTCCACGAAATTCGGAGATTGAAGCTCTCTTGTTTAGTTTATGATTTTTGTAATGAATTTCAAGAGCTTGGATTTGTTTTGGCATAGATTTGAGCCTCAATTTGAAGTCATGAATCTCGCTTAAAGCTTAGTGTGTTCAATCTAATGGGTTCTTGAATGTTTGTGGGACTTGAATTGCTTGAAACTAAGGCTAAATTTGCGTAGGAATGTAGTGCCAAAACAGAGCAGTTTCGGACTATTTTTGGTAGCACTGTCGCATGTGCGGCCTGGTGCCCCGCACATGTGGAAAACATGGCAGACTTGGGGTGCATACTGAAATAAAAGCACTTGCAAGAGTAGGTGCGGTGGTGGTCACCGCACGTGCAGTTGGAAACCCTACACGTACGGCCTTGTTTGGGCAAACCTGGTTTGTTTTTCGCTTCTCTTTTCCACCTTCCAGGCTTCCGTTTGCATGATTTTAAAGTGTTTTCATGATCATTTGCATCTCATGAGTGCATTAGATTGAATAAATGAAAAATTAGAACCGAATTAGTAAAGACGATTAGTTATTGAGTAAGTAACAACCGAATCCGATATAATTGGCTATTAATATGAATGTAATTGAGTTGTTATGCTTAAATTTATTTGTTTAGGTTGGATGCCAAACCAATAGTACGTGTATCGAGAAACCCACTGTAAGTAACACTATTGTAAAGATATGTTCAAATTGTATTTATTCTCTAAATGATAAATTATATTGTTAATTGATTGAAATGCAAAACTGACAAAGTGTGAATTTTGGCTTGATAGTGTTATGTTTTTGGGGCATGTAATCAATACGGATGGCATTTCGGTTGACCCACAGAAGATAGAAGCAGTTGTTAATTGGCCTAGACCTACTAATGTTACTGAAGTTCGAAGTTTCTTGGGTTTGACCGGATACTATCGAAGATTTGTAAAAGATTTTTTCAAAATTGTTTTGCCTTTGACTCAGTTGACTCAGAAAGAAGTACTGCTTGACTGGACCGATCAGAGAGAGTCAGCCTTTTAAGAATTAAAGACTCGTCTTGTGACTGCATCGATTCTCACCTTACCCTCAGGTACCGATGGATTTACTATTTTTAGTGATGTTTCTTATAAGGGTTTGGGGTGTGTATTGATATAGAATGGCAAAGTAATAGCATATGCGTCCCGACAATTGAGGCCACATGAAAAGAATTATCCGACTCATGATTTAGAACTTGTCGTAGTAGTATTTGCATTGAAAATTTGGCGCCACTACTTGTATGGGGCAACATGTGAGGTTTATACAGACCATAAAAGTTTAAAATATTTCTTTACTCAGAAAGCGTTGAATATGAGACAACAAAAATGGCTGGAATTAATAAAATATTATGATTTTCAATTCTTATACCATCCAGGGAAAGCTAACACTGTTGTCGATGTACTTAGTCGAAAATCAATTGGGAATTTGACTTGCTTACTTACCGGGCAAAGAGAATTGCTACATGACCTCGAGAAACTTGAAGCTGAAGTTGTATTACAAGAACAAGGTGGGACTTTAGCTTCTATCACCGCCCAACCAGCACTAATTGAGACAATTAAAGAGAAACAACAACAAAATGAATTTTTGAAGAAGATTATTGATGAATGGAAATCCAAACTAAGGCCGGACTTTGTTTTTGAAAATGGTGTATTGAAATTTCAAGGTAGATTATGTGTACCAAATGATCTTGAATTGAAAAAGGGAGTTTTGCAAGAAGCCCATAGTTCAAAACTTTCTATCCACCGAGGGAATACAAAAATGTATTAGGGTTTGAAGTTGACTTTTTGGTGGCCGGGAATGAAGAAGGAAATTGTTGAGTTTGTGTCAAAATGCTTACATTACTAACAAATCAAAGCCGAGCATCAATGACCCGCGGGATTGCTCCAACCACTGTCAATACCGGAGTGGAAATGGGAGCACATCACTATGGATTTCATTGTTGGACTACCATGCTCCAATAGAGGTATGGATTCAATTTTGGGTTATTGTCGATCGTTTGACTAAGTTCGCTCATTTCTTACCTGTCAAAACAATTTATAATACGGATAAGTTGGCTATAATTTACATTAGTGAGATTGTTAGATTGCATGGAGTGCCTATGTCTATTGTTTCTGATAAGGACTCAAAATTCACATCAGGATTTTGGCAAAGCCTGCAAACAACATTGGGAATCGAGCTGAGATTGAGCAGTGCATATCATCCACAAACTGATGGACAATCAAAAAGAACAATCCAAACTCTGGAGGACATGTTACGTATGTGTGTGCTTGATTTCCAATGGAATTGAGAAACTCACTTGCCTTTAGCTGAATTCGCCTACAACAACATTTTTCATTGGAGCATTGGTATGACGCCTTTCGAGGCATTATATGGCAAATGTTAATCTCCTATTTGTTGGGCAAAAGTTGGAGATGGGCCTTTACTTGGGCCTGAGATTGTGCATGAAACAACGGAAAAGGTGAAATTAATTCAACAAAGATTGAAAACTGCACAAAACTGATAGAAAAGCTATGCGGATGTCCAAAGACGAGACAGGGAATACAAAGCGGGTGATCATGTTTTTATTAAAGTGACACTAATGAAAGGGTAGACTCGTGTAGACCGCCCGAACTCTCTCTGTGTGCGAGGGCGCAAATTGGGTTCTAGCTACTACAGTTCAAACTCCTATCACGGTTCTGAATCTAATCTCACAAAGTGCAATGTAAGACTGATAAATCACCAAAGAATTCAAATCTGGCAAATCGTTTTGGAAAATCGATTTTGAATAAAAAAAGCGCCAAACATGGACTGGTTTGCCAGATTTCAGAGTTGCCACCTAAATATTTTGTTTTTGGGAAATTTAGGAAACCCTAACTCGTGCCAAAGGCCACGTGTCCGTCATCACCAAAGTTGTCCGTCATCACAAGTATAGACTAGATTGTCTAAATTGGAACAAAACATCTCATGTTTGTTTTTCGAAAATGGTTTGAAGGTGCTACTCGCAAGTAGGTTAAGACGCGAATTTGCCACCCTCAAGTGGGCTTAGGAAACAACATGATTTCGCCACTCCGCAAAGTGGGCTTAAAACACATATTTTGATGAATTGTTCCAATTCAAGCAATGAAGCCTTTATCCACAGGCATTCATGTAGTTAATCATTTAAGCACATAGCCTCATGGCAAGCGTGTTATCATAACAGCATTTACACTCATGCAAGATGCTAAAGCATAAACACTTACAGTGAACTCCGAGCCAAAACAAAAGCTAGTTAGTAATCATGCATGATCCTAGCTATGTTAAGATGCCTAATGCAACATATGCAAAAATGTAACTAAAATAGGCTCGGTTATCTAAGATGGCATATAAATGCAACACTTGATAACATGCTGTGAAACACGTATTCAAGTAAGTTTATTGAAATACGATGCAGTTTGAATGATGTGCCGAACCTTGTGCATGCAATACAGATGAATGATGCACGCATTCAAGCATAAGGTATGCTAATTGAAATATGCCCTAAACTAACCATCAAAAGCTAGTAAATAAAAGGGAGAAAGACGTGGGGTTGGAAGACATTCACACATACACGCACACTTATTACAACATTTGCCCTCTCAACGGAGGGTCCAAATAATAAGCTAACTAGTTACGCTAATTAAACTAATTATTATAAATAAAAAAAATTAACTATTTCTAGTTAACTAATTATTACAAAACAAATCGATTAATTAAGCACATTAACTAATTAAGTACAAAACCGACGAACTAGCTAACTAAGTAAAGCAACTAAAGCAGTTAAAAGAGGTCCTCAGGGTGAGGGGTGCATGCATACTCGATCGCCTCACTCGGAAACCCATTGCTATGCCC